AGAAATCATGCACCTCGCAAGACGGTGCGCTGGCCACGCCAGCTTGTATGTAGAATCAGATACATAAGAGTTTCTTTGTCCTAGACGAGTCTGTTAGACGTCTACCGTGATATCATCCATGTGCATCATATCCTCTATTTACTACAGCGTATTGTTGTCACTATTCACTCAGTCAAGTGAAGGCAGAATTAGAGGAGACTCATTTGGCCATTGATGATCTAATCAATAGGGTCCTTCGCGCCACAATCATGCGCCACAGAGGCGGCTGCCTTGCCGTGTGGCTGGTGGCCCCTTGTCATCCTCTCCACTCCCAAGACAACGACGCTTCAGAGCCTCAAGAGTCTTGAAGGTGATTGTGCAAGTACAACGATTCAAGTCTAGTCTTGAGATCGAAAGATCTAATGATGCGTCCAACTTCAATCTTCCGAATCTTTCAAGACGCAAACTTGCCGCATCACTCTTGAGCCGTAGCCTAGGGCGGTTTGATCAACCAACTTTAGCGATGTTATTGGGTAGCGTTCAAGGAATACCATGTGCAATGATGCAAGAATGCAAGTCCAAAGAGTCGAAACGTACCATAAAAGGCTCGAAAGTACTTTCGGTCCATTAGGCTGGTTCGCGGCTCAAAGGATTTCAGGCGACGCAGGCAGCAACCCGCCGGCCTAGAACCATGCCGCATAACACAAGCCCAGAACCCCGCAGACCTCGGTGTCTTCCTCCATTTTACTGAATCCTATCAAGGTTATCGATAGGACTTTGACTCACAGATGGTCTTGTTCCCGTCAATCCGATGCGTTTCCGGGAGCCGATGACTCTTGACGGCCGTCCGAGCGGGGTACGGCTGCCTACCTATGTCCTGCCGGGTCCCGAGATTCTAGGCAGGCTATCACGGGCTGAGGCATTCTAAAACATCTTGAGGCCTTGGGTTCTCAGTATAAAGAGCCTCGAGATCTAGAGATATCTGGCTTGAAGAAAACAAACCATCTTCTCATCTCCCACAGACTCCACTCCTTGAAAAACCCCAAGACCTTATCATCAAGGCCTCCACAATTCACAATGGCACGCACCAGGCAAACCGCCCCCGGCCCGGGCCAATATTCAGTTCAGCAGCCCCTTGATGAAGAGGACCAGGAGGAGATCAATGGAGTTCTCACCGAGGAAGACAAGAAACGTCGCGAGGAACTTGAGAAGGCACCCATGCAGATCGAGGTCAAGCACCTGGAGAAGCGGTGGACAAAGAAGGGACACCCATACATCACCGAACCAAAGGAAGACGAGGACATTCCCCAAGAGAAGATCAACTGGTACGAGAAGTATGCACTCTGCGTAAGTACTCCTCCCCACCACTAGCTACCTTCTCCTCTCACACAGACGCATTCAGATTACGCGCCAGTATGACGGCCAGAACAAGTACATCTGCCGTACCTCACTTGAGGTCAACTCTCCCGGACTCAAGAATATCTTGGGAGACGTCATTGGCAGCAAATATCCTGGCCAATCCTACCTGACTTCCAACATCACCGTCGACTTCCCTCCCCGTAGTCTCTACCACTACCGTCAGGAGCTGGCCGACACCGCTGTCGACCACGAACCCGGTTCCGATGAAGCCAGGCACCTCCCTCTGCTGCTCAGCTTTATTGACGAGGAGTTCCACGATGCCATTGTCGACGGCGCAAACCTTCTTGAGCAGGGCTTGATGAGCTACGAGCACCTCTGGACCATCTTCCGTCCAGGGTGCCTCGTCTACGCTACTCGGATGAGCCAGGCCCGCGTGTACAAGCTCAATAGCTACCAGTATACCTGCGGCCAATGCCCCGGTCTCCAGCTGAGCGTCGAGTTTGTCGACTTTGACGGTGACGACTTTGGCACGAGATACGATTCCCTCTTGATTCCCGCCTTCTCTGGAGCCTCGCCAATCGCCTCTCTCAACGCCCTTCCTTTGGCGCACCACCCTGACCCTGACGCCGTTTCGCGCCTCCTGACTGAGCGCGGTCGACGATGGGAGGCTCTCGCCGGCCAGAATTTCCGTCAGTACAAGGGCGTAGCGTTGGACCCCCGCAATCGCCGCTTCAACATTGATGGCCGGGTCATGGTCGACGCCGAGACTCACCACCGCATCATGGCCGACTACGCCTTTAACGTCAGCTCGTTTCCCAAGGCAGCAGGCCGGAAGCGGAAGCAGGACGATGAGAGCGACGACATGGAACTCGTTCCAAAGGAGACTGCCGAGTTTGCGACTCTGACGGACGAGGAATGTCTGCTGGCCAGCCCCATGGTCCGCGGCTTCAGCTTCACTGAGAAGAAGTTCCTCGACTTCTTCGTCGACAAGATCAGCCCAATCGAGTGGAACACGCAATGCTTCGAGCAGCTCGTCCTTCCAGACTCCCAAAAGGAGCTTGTGCAGGCTCTTGTCGCGGAGCACACCGCCCGAACCACCGATCCAAACTCGTCAGCGTTTGATGACATTGTCAAGGGCAAGGGCAAGGGCCTCATTCTCGTCTTGCATGGTCCTCCTGGCGTGGGAAAGACCTTGACGGCGGAGTGCGTGGCCGAGTTCAGCCGTCGGCCGCTGTACATTGTCTCCTCGGGCGACCTCGGTACCTCGTCAGCGGTCCTGGACGACAAGCTGACCAAGACGCTCGATCTGGCGAGTACCTGGAAGGCGGTGCTCCTCATAGATGAGGCCGACGTCTTCCTCGAGCGTCGATCACTGCACGATATGGAGCGCAACAGTCTCGTGTCCATCTTCCTGCGCACACTCGAGTACTACAGCGGCATTCTCTTCATGACGACGAACCGCGTACGGACCTTTGACGACGCCTTCAAGAGCCGCATCCACGTGCCCCTCAAGTATGACGACCTGCCGCGAGAGAGCCGGTTGAAGGTGTGGAAGAACTTCCTAGGCAACGTCGAGGGCGGTGTCGACATTGACGAGGATGGGTATGAGAAGCTTGCCGGGGGCAAGTTGAACGGGCGGCAGATCAAGAACGTGGTTCGGACGGCCAAGAGTTTGGCTGCGCACAAGAAGCGGAGATTGGATTGTGAGCAGCTGCAGCAGGTTGTGGATATCCAGATGACGTTTGAGAGGGAGCTGGACAGTGTGGATGGTGACATTGATGTGGTTGTACGATAGAGAGAGGGGACTCGGAGTCGGTGTAAACGGGAGCGGAAGCCCACGGGAGCCAACGGGATCGGCGCGTTGGGGGAGGGCATGTTGGTGACCTGTGCTGATGAGTTTTCCGGGGGAGCAATAAGATTAAGTTCGCTTTCTGTCATCTCCGCGTTCTTGACTCCGCAGTCGTTGAAATGACGACGTGCGATGTTGTTTGTTACCAGTGAGGAGCCAACGGCTCGCGCGAAGCCCCCAGAAACAAACAGGGTAATGAGAGTCGAGACTCGGGACGCAAACGCAAACATCGCTGGTCAAAGACAACATGGCAACCAACAAGAATATGACCCCACAGCTAGATGAATGGACGGGTAGATACTAACGAACGTCAAGGGGAAAGGCGACAAACATACCCGATTCTGCAATGATGGTGGCGGAGTCCATCTTTTTTTGGACTGTCGTCCCGGTAGACAAACGCAATGCCAGGTGCCCTGAAAGGTTCAATTTGTTGGTCGTATCCTTTACGGGTTCATCGACGCTATGTCGTAATTATGATGGCGACTGTCAGCAAACCCGACGACAACGCTCACCTCTGTACTACTTCAGCACTTCTCGTTCTGTCCCAAGATTAACACGACGACCGTGGGAGTTCGTGATCGAATAGCGCTTTCTTGTTGTCAAGGCAAGCTGGACGCTTCCCGAGAGTCACTTGCAGTCTTCCAATCCCAGTCCTGCTTTCCCCGTATTCACATTCTGACCCTAAATTCCTGAGCATGAAGCTTTCAAGTAAGTGTGCTCAATGACTCTCGGCAGATCTCAATATTGCTCCAAGCTGAGAGCACCTCAGCTCAGCCCAGACTTGCCTCTCTACCGAAAGAGCCCTAGTCCCGGAGGCGGCTCACACGCTTGTGGCGCCCCCCTCACGAGGACTCGAGGACCGGCAAACCCGCCAGAGCCAATCGCGCGAGACGCACGACCAGTTAGCGTGTATGGTACCGTGCCGCCGGGTCACGCCAAGCGGACGCCCCGTGTCTCGTTGGTCTGGGGAGATTGGGTGCCTCCTTTTCTTGGGTTGGGTGAAGTTTGGGTGAAAGCTGGCAAGCTGGGTGAAGTTGGGTGTGTTGGCCCTGGCCCCCCCTGGGAAAGTAAACTCCAGCTCCGGGGCGGTCTGGCTTGAGACGGGGTGGCTGAAAGGTTTTGAACCCATCTAGACTACAAACAGACTAAGCGAATTGCAAGGGTGAAACTGTGAGTCGTTGACGCGATTGGTTCGGAGACGAGTTGTCATGGCATGTCGTGCTCAGTCTAGATCTCTCCCTACTTCAGAGGTGAACAAGTCATGAGCCGTCGATGCTCGGAGCTTCTTGTCTCCCTCCTTTCACCTTGGGTAGGCCCGGTAAAGGCGGTAATGACAGGCATGGGGAAGCCCTGGCCCTATGTTCTTGGAAGGATAAGGTCTGCGGGAGAATTCCCTTGTCCACGCCCTGGCTCAGGTGCCGATTCAATGGCTCGATTTGGTCCAACTAATTCCCGGTACTGCGGTCAGCGAACGGTTGCTGTCTTATCAGACTGGGTCGAGACATGCCACTCCAAACAGAACACCGTCATATGCTTTGCCTGGACGGCGCGGATACGCGGTCAATGAGTTTGACTACGTCCAACTCGCTTCCACACTAGTTTCCCCGGCAGGCACACGCACGTTTTCGAACCTCCTTGGCGCAAACGTGGGCAATATTGATATATCAGGGCTGTAATCCTTCGAGTTGGCATATTCTGTGCTTCTCCATATCCAACGTCCGGGCAGAGCATCTTGACAGAGTGCGAGAAAAGTCCTTGCATGGCCCGCAATGATTTTGGAGCAAGGAGGAGTACGCCACATGCCGCCTTCAACATGCATTTTACTCATTTGACAGCTGCGCCTTCTTCTGCTTCCCCATCTACGACGAGGGACTATCCAAAGATAGATGTTGAGCTTTCGGTTATTCCTTGCTCTGGGAGTGAGGGTTCATGGACGCTGGGAAGGCACGTTCATCCAAGGCAATGGAGCCAGGCGCGGAAGACATATGATACGTGCTTGATTGTCTTTCTTGAGTTCTTCACGTATGTCGACCTCGTTTTACTGTCTGGGGATCACAGCTGACTCTATCTAGTACTATGATCAGCACCGCAGGAGTATGCTCTCCTCAGTTGTCTTCCACCTGAATAAGTATGTACTGATGCTGATATTTTCAATAGTCACCGGTTGCTGGACACATTTACGACGATCTCAATCTGAGCCCAGTTGCAGCGACTTGCATTTTTGTTTCAACGTAAGCGAGATGGAACAAGGGGCACTTTTCCACTACTCAGATCACTCACATTGCCACATAGATATCTCATCGGCCAGACTATCGGAGGAGTCTTCTTCCCACCTTGGTCAGAGTCCTTTGGCCGTAAGAAACTCTACGTAATCAGCACCGGCCTATACAGCCTGTCATGCATTCTCGTCGGCAAGGTGCCCACAATTCCTGGCATCGTTGTCGGTCGTTTCATCGGTGGACTGTTATCGTCTGTCCCTACCATTGTTGCCACGGGCAGCATCGAAGATCTTTGGGACACCAATGCGCGGGTATGGTGGCTGTACTGGTGGTCACTGGTCGCGAACCTCGGGATATTGACAGGTCCGGTCTTCAGTGACTTGGTAATGAGAAGTACTCACTGGTAAGACCATGATGTCTGGCTCAGCTTGAGTGTACTATAACTGATCATGGACTCCATAGGACGTGGGTGTTTTACACTGCGGCCATAGTCACAGCATGCGTCACGATGCTGCTCCTCACAATCAGGGAGTCTCGTCCCTCCGTCGTACTAGCGAGGGCTCAGGCACTCACCGAAGTCCAAGGCCTAAATACCAACACCACCTCACCGGACAAGGTTTTCCCTTCGACTCACGAGAAGCTCGACCTCCTCCGCCCCCTCCGACTCTTCTTCACCGAGCCAATAGTCTGCCTCGCCGCAGTCATCAGCGCCATCGCCTTTGGGCTCGTCTACCTCTTCACCGAGGTCCTACCCCTTGTCTACGTCGACATGGGCTTTACCGATGCATCGGTGAACTTACCCTTTCTCCCTCTTGCAATCGGTATGGTCTTCAGCGCACTCACACGTCTTTACGATCGTCGAGTCCTTGCCGAGAGGATGTCAAGATCGCTACCACTCACACCCGAGTCGAAATTCGCAGGCTTCATCATCGGAGCCCCGTTGTTGGCTATCGGCCTTTGGTCATTTGCCTGGACTATCCCGCCCTACACGACATCAGCACACTGGGCTATCCCGACGATAGCACTCGTACCCATAGGCTACGCAGTCAACGAGTTTGACTACGTGCTGGCTGGATATCTCACCGACTGCTATCAGACATACTCGGCCAGCAGCTACGCTTGCATGTCACTCTCACGTTCAACTTGCAGTGCAACGTTTCCTCTCTTCGGACGAGCACTGTTTGACTCCTTGGGCTTCAACGTCGCAACTTCCGTGTTTGCAACTCTGGCCACGGTTCTGTGTGCTGTACCTCCATTGTTGTTGAGGTACGGGGGTACACTTAGAGCCAAAAGCGCGTTCGCGAGCAAGGATTCGAGAGATCTGGCTACCTTGTGAGGGGGTACTGACCCCTTTCCGTGTACATATTCATACAAAACTTACATACGACGTTTACCAACATGCAAGTATTCAGAGTACAGTTCAGAACGGAGTCGGTGATTGTTGCAATAGCGGGGGCACAAGTGAGCATGAAGCATACTATTGCTATTACAACTAACTAGAGCTAAGTCAACATACCCACTTCCTGGCACCCCCCTGTTTCTGGCACCCACAAAAACGCGAAAATCCACCACAACCCAATGCCCACCCCCAACCTCCTTTTATCACAACATTTTCAATTCGCGTCCAAATGGGCTCATCTTTTGCACATGTCTTCTTCTATATATAATGCCTCAATATACCGAAGATCAGCTTCGTCAGGCTCTCGAGGA